GTTGATGTTGTTGTTGATGTTGTTGATGTTGTTGTTGTTGATGTTGTTGATGTTGTTGTTGATGTTGTTGATGATGTTGTTGTTGATGTTGTTGATGTTGTTGATGTTGTTGTTGATGTTGTTGATGTTGTTGTTGATGTTGATGTTGTTGTTGTTGATGTTGTTGTTGATGTTGTTGTTGATGTTGTTGTAGTTGTTGATGATGTTGATGTTGTTGTTGATGTTGTTGTTGATGATGTTGTTGTTGATGTTGTTGTTGATGTTGTTGTTGATGTTGTGGCTTAGTGGGACCGCTCCCAGGGATCTGTGTAGTTGTCGTCAGCTCCGTCCCGTTGGGCTCCGGTCTGTCGAGCTCCGCCGCTTTGGAAGTCGCCACCTACTGTCTCCTGCAAGGGTTCTGCCCTGGTACTCACTCAGTCACTCACTCAGTCACTCACTCAGTCACTCAGTCACTCACTCACTCAGTCACTCACTCAGTCACTCAGTCACTCAGTCACTCACTCAGTCACTCACTCAGTCACTCACTCAGTCACTCACTCAGTCACTTACTCAGTCACTCACTCAGTCACTCAGTCACTCACTCAGTCACTCACTCAGTCACTCACTCAGTCACTCACTCAGTCACTCACTCAGTCACTCAGTCACTCAGTCACTCACTCAGTCACTCAGTCACTCACTCAGTCACTCACTCAGTCACTCACTCAGTCACTCACTCAGTCACTCACTCAGTCACTCAGTCACTCAGTCACTCACTCAGTCACTCAGTCAGTCACTCACTCAGTCACTCAGTCACTCAGTCAGTCACTCACTCAGTCACTCAGTCACTCAGTCACTCACTCAGTCAGTCAGTCACTCAGTCACTCAGTCACTCAGTCAGTCACTCACTCAGTCACTCACTCAGTCACTTACTCAGTCACTCACTCAGTCACTCACTCAGTCACTTACTCAGTCACTCAGTCACTCACTCACACAGACACTCACACAGTCACTCAGTCACTCACTCACACAGACACTCACTCAGTCACTCAGTCAGTCACTCAGTCACTCAGTCACTCACACAGACACTCAGTCACTCACTCAGTCACTCAGTCACTCACTCAGTCACTCACTCAGTCACTCAGTCAGTCACTCACTCAGTCACTCACACAGACACTCAGTCAGTCAGTCACTCAGTCACTCACTCAGTCACTCACTCAGTCACTCACTCAGTCACTTACTCAGTCACTTACTCAGTCACTTACTCAGTCACTCAGTCAATCACTCAGTCAGTCAGTCACTCAGTCACTCACTCAGTCAGTCACTCAGTCACTCAGTCAGTCACTCACTCAGTCACTCACTCAGTCACTCACTCAGTCACTTACTCAGTCACTCAGTCACTCAGTCACTCACTCAGTCACTCACTCAGTCACTCAGTCAGTCACTCAGTCACTTACTCAGTCACTCAGTCACTCAGTCACTCACTCAGTCACTCACTCAGTCACTCAGTCACTCACTCAGTCACTTACTCAGTCACTCAGTCACTCAGTCACTCACTCAGTCACTTACTCAGTCACTCAGTCAGTCACTTACTCAGTCACTCACACAGTCAGTCACTTACTCAGTCACTCAGTCACTCAGTCAGTCAGTCACTCAGTCAGTCACTCACTCAGTCACTCAGTCACTCAGTCAGTCACTCAGTCACTCAGTCAGTCACTCAGTCAGTCACTTACTCAGTCACTCAGTCAGTCACTCAGTCACTCAGTCACTCACTCAGTCAGTCACTCAGTCAGTCACTCAGTCAGTCACTCAGTCACTCAGTCAGTCACTCAGTCACTCACTCAGTCAGTCACTCACTCAGTCACTCAGTCACTCACTCAGTCAGTCAGTCACTCAGTCACTCAGTCACTCACTCAGTCAGTCAGTCACTCAGTCAGTCACTCAGTCACTCACTCAGTCAGTCACTTACTCAGTCACTCACTCAGTCAGTCACTCAGTCAGTCACTCAGTCAGTCAGTCACTCAGTCAGTCACTCAGTCACTCAGTCAGTCACTTACTCAGTCACTCAGTCACTCAGTCACTCACTCAGTCAGTCACTCAGTCAGTCACTCAGTCAGTCACTCAGTCACTCACTCAGTCAGTCACTCAGTCAGTCACTCACTCACTCAGTCACTCAGTCACTCACTCAGTCAGTCAGTCACTCAGTCACTCAGTCACTCAGTCACTCAGTCACTCACTCAGTCAGTCAGTCACTCAGTCACTCAGTCAGTCACTCAGTCACTTACTCAGTCACTCAGTCACTCAGTCACTCACTCAGTCACTCACTCAGTCACTCAGTCACTCACTCAGTCACTTACTCAGTCACTCAGTCACTCAGTCACTCACTCAGTCACTCACTCAGTCACTCAGTCACTCACTCAGTCACTTACTCAGTCACTCAGTCACTCAGTCACTCACTCAGTCACTTACTCAGTCACTCAGTCAGTCACTTACTCAGTCACTCACACAGTCAGTCACTTACTCAGTCACTCAGTCACTCAGTCAGTCAGTCACTCAGTCAGTCACTCACTCAGTCACTCAGTCACTCAGTCAGTCACTCAGTCACTCAGTCAGTCACTCAGTCAGTCACTTACTCAGTCACTCAGTCAGTCACTCAGTCACTCAGTCACTCACTCAGTCAGTCACTCAGTCAGTCACTCAGTCAGTCACTCAGTCACTCAGTCAGTCACTCAGTCACTCACTCAGTCAGTCACTCAGTCAGTCAGTCACTCAGTCACTCAGTCACTCACTCAGTCAGTCAGTCACTCAGTCACTCAGTCACTCACTCAGTCAGTCAGTCACTCAGTCAGTCACTCAGTCACTCACTCAGTCAGTCACTCACTCAGTCACTCACTCAGTCAGTCACTCAGTCAGTCACTCAGTCAGTCAGTCACTCAGTCAGTCACTCAGTCACTCAGTCAGTCACTTACTCAGTCACTCAGTCACTCAGTCACTCACTCAGTCAGTCACTCAGTCAGTCACTCAGTCAGTCACTCAGTCACTCACTCAGTCAGTCACTCAGTCAGTCACTCACTCACTCAGTCACTCAGTCACTCACTCAGTCAGTCAGTCACTCAGTCACTCAGTCACTCAGTCACTCAGTCACTCACTCAGTCAGTCAGTCACTCAGTCACTCAGTCACTCACTCAGTCACTCACTCAGTCAGTCAGTCACTCAGTCACCCAGTCAGTCACTTACTCAGTCACTCAGTCAGTCACTCAGTCACTCACTCAGTCAGTCACTTACTCACTCACTCAGTCACTCAGTCAGTCAGTCAGTCACTCAGTCAGTCACTCAGTCACTCAGTCAGTCACTCAGTCAGTCACTCACTCAGTCAGTCACTTACTCAGTCACTCAGTCACTCAGTCAGTCAGTCACTCAGTCAGTCACTCACTCAGTCACTCAGTAACTCAGTCAGTCACTCAGTCACTTACTCAGTCACTCAGTCACTCAGTCAGTCACTCAGTCACTCACTCAGTCAGTCAGTTACTCAGTCAGTCAGTCAGTCACTCAGTCACTCACTCAGTCAGTCACTCACTCAGTCACTCAGTCACTCAGTCACTCACTCAGTCAGTCACTTACTCAGTCACTCAGTCACTCAGTCAGTCACTCAGTCACTCAGTCAGTCACTCAGTCAGTCACTTACTCAGTCACTCAGTCAGTCACTCAGTCAGTCACTTACTCAGTCACTCAGTCACTCAGTCAGTCACTCACACAGTCACTCAGTCACTCAGTCAGTCACTCACACAGTCACTCAGTCACTCAGTCACTCAGTCACTCACTCAGTCACTCACTCACACACTCAGTCACTCGGTCACTCAGTCAGTCACTCAGTCAGTCAGTCACTTACTCAGTCACTCACTCAGTCAGTCACTCAGTCAGTCACTCAGTCAGTCAGTCACTCAGTCAGTCACTCAGTCACTCAGTCAGTCACTTACTCAGTCACTCAGTCACTCAGTCACTCAGTCACTCACTCAGTCAGTCACTCAGTCAGTCACTCAGTCACTCAGTCAGTCACTCACTCAGTCAGTCACTCAGTCAGTCAGTCACTCAGTCACTCAGTCACTCACTCAGTCAGTCAGTCACTCAGTCAGTCAGTCACTCAGTCACTCAGTCACTCAGTCACTCACTCAGTCAGTCAGTCACTCAGTCAGTCACTCAGTCACTCACTCAGTCACTCACTCAGTCAGTCAGTCACTCAGTCACCCAGTCAGTCACTTACTCAGTCACTCAGTCAGTCACTCAGTCACTCACTCAGTCAGTCACTTACTCACTCACTCAGTCACTCAGTCAGTCAGTCAGTCACTCAGTCAGTCACTCAGTCACTCAGTCAGTCACTCAGTCAGTCACTCACTCAGTCAGTCACTTACTCAGTCACTCAGTCACTCAGTCAGTCAGTCACTCAGTCAGTCACTCACTCAGTCACTCAGTAACTCAGTCAGTCACTCAGTCACTTACTCAGTCACTCAGTCACTCAGTCAGTCACTCAGTCACTCACTCAGTCAGTCAGTTACTCAGTCAGTCAGTCAGTCACTCAGTCACTCAGTCACTCACTCACTCAGTCAGTCAGTCAGTCAGTCACTCAGTCACTCAGTCACTCACTCAGTCAGTCAGTCACTCAGTCACCCAGTCAGTCACTTACTCAGTCACTCAGTCAGTCACTCAGTCACTCAGTCACTCACTCAGTCAGTCAGTCACTTACTCACTCACTCAGTCACTCAGTCAGTCAGTCACTCAGTCAGTCACTCAGTCACTCAGTCAGTCACTCAGTCAGTCACTCACTCAGTCAGTCACTTACTCAGTCACTCAGTCACTCAGTCACTTACTCAGTCACTCAGTCAGTCACTCACTCAGTCACTCAGTAACTCAGTCAATCACTCAGTCACTTACTCAGTCACTCAGTCACTCACTCAGTCACTCACTCAGTCACTCAGTCACTCAGTCACTCAGTCAGTCACTCAGTCACTTACTCACTCACTCAGTCACTTACTCAGTCACTCACTCAGTCACTCAGTCACTCAGTCACTCACTCAGTCAGTCAGTCACTTACTCACTCACTCAGTCACTCAGTCAGTCAGTCACTCAGTCAGTCACTCAGTCACTCAGTCAGTCACTCAGTCAGTCACTCACTCAGTCAGTCACTTACTCAGTCACTCAGTCACTCAGTCAGTCAGTCACTCAGTCAGTCACTCACTCAGTCACTCAGTAACTCAGTCAGTCACTCAGTCACTTACTCAGTCACTCAGTCACTCACTCAGTCACTCACTCAGTCACTCAGTCACTCAGTCAGTCACTCAGTCACTTACTCACTCACTCAGTCACTTACTCAGTCACTCACTCAGTCACTCAGTCACTCACTCAGTCACTCAGTCACTCACTCAGTCACTCAGTCACTCAGTCACTCACTCACACAGACACGCACACAGTCACTCAGTCACTCAGTCACTCAGTCACTCACTCAGTCACTCAGTCACTCACTCACACAGACACTCACACAGTCACTCAGTCACTCACTCAGTCACTCAGTCACTCAGTCACTCACTCAGTCACTCACTCAGTCACTCACTCACACAGACACTCACACAGTCACTCACTCACTCAGTCACTCAGTCACTCACTCACTCACACAGACACTCACACAGTCACTCAGTCACTTAGTCACTCAGTCACTCACTCAGTCACTCAGTCACTCACTCACTCACTCAGTCACTCAGTCACTCAGTCAGTCACTCAGTCACTCAGTCACTTACTCACTCACTCAGTCACTTACTCAGTCACTCACTCAGTCACTCAGTCACTCACTCAGTCACTCAGTCACTCACTCACACAGACACTCACTCAGTCACTCAGTCACTCACTCAGTCACTCACTCAGTCACTCAGTCACTCACTCACACAGACACGCACACAGTCACTCACTCACTCAGTCACTCAGTCACTCACTCAGTCACTCAGTCTCTCACTCACACAGACACTCACACAGTCACTCAGTCACTCAGTCACTCACTCAGTCACTCAGTCACTCAGTCACTCACTCAGTCACTCACTCAGTCACTCACTCACACAGACACTCACACAGTCACTCACTCACTCAGTCACTCAGTCACTCACTCACTCACTCACACAGACACTCACACAGTCACTCAGTCACTTAGTCACTCAGTCACTCACTCAGTCACTCAGTCACTCACTCACTCACTCAGTCACTCAGTCACTCAGTCACTCAGTCAGTCACTCAGTCACTTACTCACTCACTCAGTCACTTACTCAGTCACTCACTCAGTCACTCAGTCACTCACTCAGTCACTCAGTCACTCACTCAGTCACTCAGTCACTCACTCACACAGACACTCACTCAGTCACTCAGTCACTCACTCAGTCACTCACTCAGTCACTCAGTCACTCACTCACACAGACACGCACACAGTCACTCACTCACTCAGTCACTCAGTCACTCAGTCACTCACTCAGTCACTCAGTCACTCACTCACACAGACACTCACACAGTCACTCAGTCACTCAGTCACTCACTCAGTCACTCAGTCACTCAGTCACTCACTCAGTCACTCACTCAGTCACTCACTCACACAGACACTCACACAGTCACTCACTCACTCAGTCACTCAGTCACTCACTCACTCACTCACACAGACACTCACACAGTCACTCAGTCACTTAGTCACTCAGTCACTCACTCAGTCACTCAGTCACTCACTCACTCACTCAGTCACTCACTCAGTCACCCACCCACTTACTCACCCACCCACTCACCCCCCCACTCACCCACCCACCCACTCACCCACCCACTCGTAACCTCTGCACCCCAGACCCAGGGTTCTCACCAACCCAGAGAGCCTTGCTGTGCCAGCGTCACTCACTCAGTCACTCACTCACTCACTCACACAGACACTCACACAGTCACTCACTCAGTCACTCACTCAGTCACTCAGTCACTCACTCAGTCACTCACTCACACAGACACTCACACAGTCACTCAGTCACTCAGTCACTCACTCAGTCACTCAGTCACTCACTCACACAGACACTCACACAGTCACTCACTCAGTCACTCAGTCACTCACTCACACAGACACTCACACAGACACTCACACAGTCACTCAGTCACTCACTCACACAGACACTCACACAGACACTCACTCACTCAGTCACTCAGACACTCACTCAGTCACTCAGTCACTCAGTCACTCAGTCACTCACTCAGTCACTCACACAGACACTCACACAGACACTCACTCACCCACCCACCCACTCACTCACCCCCCCACTCACCCACCCACCCACCACCCACCCACTCGTAACCTCTGCACCCCAGACCCAGGGTTCTCACCAACCCAGAGAGCCTTGCTGTGCCAGCGTCACTCACTCAGTCACTCAGTCACTCACTCACACAGACACTCACACAGTCACTCAGTCACTCAGTCACTCACTCAGTCACTCACTCAGTCACTCACTCACACAGACACACAGTCACTCACTCAGTCACTCAGTCACTCACTCAGTCACTCACTCAGTCACTCAGTCACTCACTCACACAGACACTCACTCAGTCACTCACTCAGTCACTCAGTCACTCACTCACACAGACACTCACACAGTCACTCACTCAGTCACTCAGTCACTCACTCAGTCACTCACTCAGTCACTCAGTCACTCAATCACTCACTCAGTCACTCAGTCACTCACTCAGTCACTCAGTCACTCAGTTACTCACTCACACAGACACTCACACAGTCACTCAGTCACTCAGTCACTCACTCAGTCACTCACTCAGTCACTCACTCACACAGACACACAGTCACTCACTCAGTCACTCAGTCACTCACTCAGTCACTCACTCAGTCACTCAGTCACTCACTCACACAGACACTCACTCAGTCACTCACTCAGTCACTCAGTCACTCACTCACACAGACACTCACACAGTCACTCACTCAGTCACTCAGTCACTCACTCAGTCACTCACTCAGTCACTCAGTCACTCACTCAGTCACTCAGTCACTCACTCAGTCACTCAGTCACTCACTCAGTCACTCAGTCACTCACTCAGTCACTCAGTCACTCACTCAGTCACTCAGTCACTCACCCACCCAACCCCCCACCCACCCACCCACTCACCCACCCACCCACTCACCCACCCACCCACCCACTCACCCACCCACTCACCCACCCACTCACCCACTCACTCACTCACACAGTCACTCACTCACACAGACACTCACACAGTCACTCACTCACTCAGTCACTCAGTCACTCACTCAGTCACTCAGTCACTCACTCACACAGACACTCACTCAGTCACTCAGTCACTCACTCAGTCACTCACTCAGTCACTCACTCACACAGACACTCACACATTCACTCAGTCACTCAGTCACTCACTCAGTCACTCACTCAGTCACTCAGTCACTCAGTCACTCACTCAGTCACTCACTCAGTCACTCACTCACACAGACACTCACACAGTCACTCACTCACTCAGTCACTCAGTCACTCACTCACTCACACAGACACTCACACAGTCACTCAGTCACTTAGTCACTCAGTCACTCACTCAGTCACTCAGTCACTCACTCACTCACTCAGTCACTCAGTCACTCAGTCACTCAGTCAGTCACTCAGTCACTTACTCACTCACTCAGTCACTTACTCAGTCACTCACTCAGTCACTCAGTCACTCACTCAGTCACTCAGTCACTCACTCAGTCACTCAGTCACTCACTCACACAGACACTCACTCAGTCACTCAGTCACTCACTCAGTCACTCACTCAGTCACTCAGTCACTCACTCACACAGACACGCACACAGTCACTCACTCACTCAGTCACTCAGTCACTCAGTCACTCAGTCACTCACTCAGTCACTCAGTCACTCACTCACACAGACACTCACACAGTCACTCAGTCACTCAGTCACTCACTCAGTCACTCAGTCACTCAGTCACTCACTCAGTCACTCACTCAGTCACTCACTCACACAGACACTCACACAGTCACTCACTCACTCAGTCACTCAGTCACTCACTCACTCACTCACACAGACACTCACACAGTCACTCAGTCACTTAGTCACTCAGTCACTCACTCAGTCACTCAGTCACTCACTCACTCACTCAGTCACTCACTCAGTCACCCACCCACTTACTCACCCACCCACTCACCCCCCCACTCACCCACCCACCCACTCACCCACCCACTCGTAACCTCTGCACCCCAGACCCAGGGTTCTCACCAACCCAGAGAGCCTTGCTGTGCCAGCGTCACTCACTCAGTCACTCACTCACTCACTCACACAGACACTCACACAGTCACTCACTCAGTCACTCACTCAGTCACTCAGTCACTCACTCAGTCACTCACTCACACAGACACTCACACAGTCACTCAGTCACTCAGTCACTCACTCAGTCACTCAGTCACTCACTCACACAGACACTCACACAGTCACTCACTCAGTCACTCAGTCACTCACTCACACAGACACTCACACAGACACTCACACAGTCACTCAGTCACTCAGTCACTCACTCACACAGACACTCACACAGTCACTCAGTCACTCAGACACTCACTCACACAGTCACTCAGTCACTCACTCACA